TTTCGTACTCAAGACGGTGGTTTAGCACTGCAAGATTTTTTTTTTTCTTATTGATTTTTTAAATATTTTTTCTNTTGATGATGGATCAATTAACTCGGACTGTTGTTTTTCCACCCATGAAACAAAAAATTGAACTTCCATTGGTGAGCATTTCGGGTTTCACACAGAATGTAAAAAAATAATCAATAACGTAAGACACGAGTCATTCCAAAAACAGGCCAGCCAGCTCCAAGCTTTGGTCTCCTTAGTTCCACTACAATTTATAACAATGTTGTATAGAAGTACCTTAACGATAGCTAAAAAAAAAATGATACCAGCGTCCGGAATGCCAAAATCTGAAAAATTAAAATTAGCTTGTTGCTTGCAACTTTTCAAATGAATATAATAGCTTCATTGGCAGTTAAAAAATCTCGATCTCAAGAAAATAATACTTTTGACCACTTATGTAGACCTAAAAAAAGGTTTTTTTATGCTCTTGTAGTCAAAGTGTCTTGCAGACAAATTACATTTTACAGGTTTCAAAAACAGTTTTGTTTTTTTTTACTATATCTTGAAAATTTAAAGACTTACTCAATCGGTGTCAACCAGAATGTTGTAGCTCTCGAAAAACATTTTTTTTTTTTTTTTGATATTTTATTTATTCATTCAGAATCAATTTTATACTTAAAAAATGGAATAAAATTTTAAAAAATATGAAAAAAATCGTTCTTTGCTAAATCCTTAAGTTTTTATTAAAGTTGTGTCTATAGTCGAAAAAAATGTAGATCTCATTCAAATACTACCTTTTTGTTATGTCATTGTTATCAAAATGACCATTCTGATGTACGTTATTGTAATATATATTGATGTACATATGATGTAAGTTTTTTCTTCAATAGCCACATGTATTACTCTATAAGTTTAATGACATTTCCTGGATTTGAGGCTGTCAGGTTATAACATAAAAAAACCAATGTATTCACTAAATTTGAGCCTAATCTAATAAAAAGTTTTGAAGAAGATATTCATAGTTATTCGTATGCGGCATGTACGTGTGTTGGTTTCACATTCGTTTGATCTTGTAATCTGTTCTTTTAGCCAGGCAGTGTATATGTAGTGGACTGCACCATTTATTGAACGCACACGTTTGCATATTTGAGTTGAAGCATACTTATTTTTGTCACCACGTGAACTTGACGATGGGTCGATTAGCTTGGACTGTTGTTTTTCCACCAACGGACACAAAAAATCGAAGTTCAATTGGTGAGCGATTCGGGTTTCTTACAGAATATATGAAAATAATCAATAACGTAAGACACGAGTCATTCCAAAAACAGGCCAGCCAGCTCCAAGCTTTGGCCTCCTCCGATCCGCTACAATTTATAACAATGTTGTATAGAAGTACCTCAAAACTAGCAATGAGTCAATTATTATAATCATGATGGGCTCAGTCTAGTTCATTACAAAATATGCCTCAGTTTCATGGTAAAGGTTAAAAAATTTTTTTATGTATTTATTTATTTATTTATTTAGAATTTTTTGTCTTGTACAACTGTTTCACAGAATAGCCTTATATTTTTGCTGGAGGAATAAGTAAAACCACCACTTATTAAGACATGTAAATCGACTATCTTTAAAACTTAACATCCAATTACCCTCAAGTTTTGTTTGTAGCTTTATTTTAATGCCACAGAGCTGTGCATAGAAGATATTCATAGTTATTCGTATGCGGCATGTACGTGTGTTGGTTTCACATTCGTTTGATTTTGTAATCTATTTATTTAGCCAGGTAGTGTCTATGTAGTGGACGAGGCTATTTATTGAACGCATACGTTTGCAAATTTAAGCTGAAATGCACGTATTTTTGTCACCACGTGAACTTGATGATGGATCAATTAACTCGGACTGTTGTTTTTCCACCCATGAAACAAAAAATTGAACTTCCATTGGTGAGCATTTCGGGTTTCACACAGAATGTAAAAAAATAATCAATAACGTAAGACACGAGTCATTCCAAAAACAGGCCAGCCAGCTCCAAGCTTTGGTCTCCTTAGTTCCACTACAATTTATAACAATGTTGTATAGAAGTACCTTAACGATAGCTAAAAAAAAAATGATACCAGCGTCCGGAATGCCAAAATCTGAAAAATTAAAATTAGCTTGTTGCTTGCAACTTTTCAAATGAATATAATAGCTTCATTGGCAGTTAAAAAATCTCGATCTCAAGAAAATAATACTTTTGACCACTTATGTAGACCTAAAAAAAGGTTTTTTTATGCTCTTGTAGTCAAAGTGTCTTGCAGACAAATTACATTTTACAGGTTTCAAAAACAGTTTTGTTTTTTTTTACTATATCTTGAAAATTTAAAGACTTACTCAATCGGTGTCAACCAGAATGTTGTAGCTCTCGAAAAACATTTTTTTTTTTTTTTTGATATTTTATTTATTCATTCAGAATCATTTTTATACTTAAAAAATGGAATAAAATATTCAAAAATTTGAAAATAAATCGTTTTATGCTATATTAAGATTTTATTAAAGTTTTGTTTATAGTCGAAAAAATGTGGAACTCATTTAAATACTACTTTTTTTTTTGTCACTGTTGTAGATTTTAAACAATGCAAATTTTTTATACATTTATGTATTTTTTCGGACTTTGTTGATGCTCTAAAAATTTGAAGAAATTATTTCAGCATTAAAAAAAGACACTTCTTTTGCTACAATTTTTGTTTTAGATTTCTATATTCGCATTGAGCACAATTAACATTTTTAGACAAAACAATAAACAATGTGTTCAAAATGCTTTGCATCACATAATTAACAATTGATTGTAGACTAACTTTATTTGGTATACATCAAAGTATAATATTTAAGAAAGTTAGGTACAATGAGGGAAAATTCCAGACAGAAAGAGAGAGAGAAATAGGAACTTTCAGTTTTTTATACATTGACCCTGTTATTCTTATAAACTAAGAATTTCATAGAGTTATTAAAACATATGAGTTAAAGCAGTACTTAGGTTATGAATTAATTGGCAGGCATTCAATAAGTTTTATGGGAACGGAATGAAAGTTTCTCCAATTCACTATTCAAAATTTTTTAAATGCTTACAAGTACAAATTTTTAATTTTCATATATAGCATTGCACGTGCTCAGTGATTTCGTTAGTACAGTGATGATTTTATCGTAAGTAAAACCCGCAATATTTATCTATACAAGATTGTTTACGTGTATCTTCACTAATGATTAACTATGTGAGAACTTAAAAATTGAGATATTATATGGATTTTTTTTTTCTCACACAATCAGTCAAAAAATTACTCTTTATTCCATAAAATTATCGATCCCCTTAGTGAATGCTCTACATACGTGGAACTATACGCATTTCTTTCTACACATTCGTCTTTATAAAACTAATTTTGTACATGTAGTACCGCTTGGTATATCAAAAAAGAACATTCGTTGAGCTACAAAATTTATTATTAAGCACTACACGAAATTATTTACAAGAATCAATACAATTCATAATTCAGCATCAGGCCACAGCCTTTCCCCTATCCTGACAACCCTAATACTTTTATATTCGTTCAGACAGTTTTGTCAAGTTTCTAAAAATTTCAACTCCTATATTTTATGATTAAGAAGTAAAGAATTAATTAAAGTAAGTGTAAATAATGTGAATCGTAAATATACTAGCAAATATTCTCGGCTCACTGACTTTATTTGAATTAACGCTTTCTAGTAATTCTGCGTTATTTCGTTTGTTAACTGCACCCTCAGTAGGAAGGGTATAGTTTGCATCCGGTGCGTATCCAACCAGGGCAAGTACAAGGAGTCCTTCGGGTCTGGTGATTGCTCTGGTGGAAAATTTCTAATTGACCATTTTTCTAGGCTTCATTTACCCGCCTAATGTACAAACTTCTCTTGACAACCTGTGCTGAGGTTTGTATCAATATTATTCTCTAACTAACCCTTTACTAGTTGCGAAAAGAAAATTTTTTATTTTTATAAGCAAAAAATTGTACCTACCAACGCCAGCCTAATTTTATAAATCACAGTACCTATACCATTCGGAAAACGGTCTGTATCTTAAACCAACCCATCAAATAACATTTGAACTTCCACCTAATTTATGCAACCTCAACTAGCTAATATCTGTTCATATGCTATCAATTAATAAATCGCATGATCAGGAGATTAGATTCACTGTGGAGTGTAAAATTTTTTTCAAATCAATGTTTATCATTGAATTAACAATAACTCGTTAGTAAGCTTTTATGTCGATTACATCTATAAAAATATAGGAAAGTTACAAAAGAACATGAATTTCTGATTTATTAGAAAAGTACCCGCTTGGGAAAATATTTATGAATCGCACACCGTTCGCTGATGACTTACAAGACTTTGGAATTTTTGTTGATACTTTTTAAGTGCGTAACTCCTTGAAATTCTCATAATTTAACAATACGATGATTTGGGAAACTCCGTTATCGATCGATACATATCTTTTTTACAAGCAAGTAAAGTTGAATGAATATTTATCACATTGGAGATAATTATAAAATAACAAGTTTGTAATAATGAATTTTGTGTTTACTTTTAAAATGTCACCTTTTTTTTATAAAAAATACATTTATAAACTTAATGATTTTTTTTTTCATTAAATTGAATGTACTATAGAATTTGTTTGCTCAGCACATACTTGTACATAATCAGCTAGTATCTAAATACCTTTTTGTTGCATTGAAATAGCTTACTATTATTCTAATGAATGTTAACTTTTGAAAAGAAGATGTAATACTTTACGTCTGCGAGTAACTACCTACAGATAAAGATTTTTTTTTTTAATTTTTCAGAGGCGATACTCCCCTGCTTAAGTATTGAATATAGACATGATCACGACGAAGTAAATGCAGTAAACAATAAATACCAAAGAAAATATGATTATATTCGTTATCTCGCGTATGTCCGAACACTGACAACTGACGATCGCGGACAGTCAGTCGGTCCTTAGCTATACAACTAGACGCCGCGGGCACGCGTGTTTATCCATACGTAATCACATACGATATCCGATCATCTCTTTTGTTTGTCAAAAAGAAACTTGAAAATAAAAGTGTACGTTTATAATACTTTGCCAATAGCACGTACAGGAAGCTCGAGTCACTTGAATACGGTAAAGCGTACAGGATGTCACACCCGATATTTGGCTGACGTTTTCTCAAAACAAGAAGTTCAAAGCGATGGGGATGGAAGAAGAAGCTGTTCTGTGCTCTACTTCGTTGGGGTCCGTCGATTTTTGATTGGAACAAGGTCCAAAAAGGTAATTAAAGACATTTTCATGAGAAAGTACAAACAGTCACGTTTAATGAATGAAAATCGGTAAAAGGATTTCAGTGGGGGCCACTAAAGCAAGGAAAATGGTAGCAAAGGAGAGTACGTATTTGATAAACACCCACCACAAGTGCGCGAGGATCAGTTTGTCGGATCCGAAGCTCTACAAACCACGAGGTAACAATGATAACGATACAATTTAAAGAATAATATACGTTTAAGAATAAATACGATCGCGCTCGCGAGCTTCCCTTCCAATGACATTTGTAAATTTGGATACCATAACAATAACAATAATTTCATAACGGCAAATAATGCAAAATAATAATAATAGTAATATAGCTATACAACTATTGGCATCGTCATTGCTATCGTTGTAGCAGTATTTTCGCGAGACCGCGTGAGTTGCATCCCGAGAAAAGCCTTTCTGTTTTGGTAAATATTACTGCAGAGATAAGATAAAAGTGGTCGGGCATTATAATATGCAAAGCTACACTCTTTGCTCGAACACACACAAGCAACCTTTTATTTTCTTTCTTATCATTGTCTCCACACGACACGTATATGTATATATACATATATATGAATACATATTCACCGTGAGTTGTTGCAACTATCGCGTTATTTCGAGAAATTTCGTGTAAAATTTGCGCAAACAACAACGGATAAATTAAAATTAAAAAAAAAAAAAATTTTCCAAAGTTTCCGTCGTGTTTGCGCGCTTATGCGTCACCCCGAGCGGATCATCAATATACCTCTCTCTCTCCTTTCAGAACTGACAAAGGAGGACTTGGCTTACTACACGGCTCATCCGCTCTGGATAAAAATCCGTCTCTGCTTGTTCTGGATCTTTTGGGCCGCCCTCATCGTTGTCCTGGTCCTCTCCGTCCTCATGTACCTCTGCCTCTTCCCATCGATTTGTCGGGTCAGCTAACAAACGTGGCCCTTCTTTCCACCAACTATTATTACGTTTGCCTGATTGATAACACGCGCGTAAAAGTGCACACGCGTGCGTTTGTGAGTGTATCTCTCTCGCCGAGGAATTTTACCGAGGGTGTATATATATATGAACGATGGTACTGATAATAAAGGCGATCTAGAGACTTTGTTTCGATTAAATCAGCCGGAACGACGGATATGTCTGTTTTTTTTTTTTTNCCTCCTTTAAGAACCTTTATATTATCTGTTTGAAAATACTACAAGAGAATTATGTCAAATGAAAAACTAAATTTTAAAAAACGTAAACTAAATTGAAACATATTTCTTTTGTTGAATTATTTTTAATTACAGACTAATTTTTTAAATCTAAACTCATGAATATTTAATTCACAAGAAACACGTCAATGTCTTATACATTGAATCAAAAATATTTTCTATTGTTTGTCCCGACCGGACACAGTTTTAAAACTCAATTTGAGTGTTTATAATTTTTAGAGCAAAATATACAGAATTTTCTTTTCAGGATTTTCAGTTATGGAATAAGCTATGGAAGTCCATGCATAATCGAAACCCTAGGAGGGGTTTATCCAAGCCGATCAGAGTGACAGTAAATCCTCCGTATGGCAAAAAAAATTTAGATTCCGTACGTACAACTAATGTACGAAAAGTACAAAAAGCACGTCCTTTTAAAATTGATGATCCGCAACTTTTGCAGGTATTAAGCTCTGTTACCTAACTATTTGCATGATAAAACTTACATGAAAGACACTATGCGATTTCCTTCTTCTTTTCACGCAGTTTCAACTGATGTTTATGATTTTTTCCTTATAGTGCATGAAATTTCAAACAAAATAACCCTGGTTTTAAAAGTTTAACTATAAGATGTTTTATTCGGGAAAAACACCACAAGTGTTTATTAGTTTAGTCAAACTGTTCGCAAAAGTAACTCAAGCTTTAAACTGCATGCGCTTTGATCATTGTTTTTTTCAGCGAAAAATGTTCAAAACTTTCTTTATAGGATTTTCAGTTATGGAATAAGCTATGGAAGTCTATGCATAATCGGAATCCAAATGCGGGTATTTCTAAACCAATCAAAGTGACTTTACAGCCCCTGTTTCCATACATGGAATAACATATCCAATCAGTATAAATCTTGGGACAAAACAATTTTTCGATAAATAATATGTGTGTTCTTTTTTTTTAAGTTATCCATTAATTAAAAAGTGTAAATAATTTACGCTCAATTATAGCTTAATGTACATGTATACGAATAAATGTATAGAAAATAAAGTTGTCTTATTGTAAAAGTTGTATTTTTTTTAAGTATCCTCTTCTCTTAATGTACAGAATATTTAGAATTACTTTATTTATTCAATTTGGTGAACTATACGTTAAAAGTTTTGTCAAGTTTCTAAGAATTTCATCTCCTATATTTTATGATTAAGAAGTAAGGAATTGATTAAAGTGAATGTAAATAATGTGAATCGTAAATATGCTAGCAAATTTTCTCGGCTCACTGACTTTATTTGGATTAACGCTTTCTTATAATTTTATATTATTTTGTTTGTTAACTGCACTGTCAGTAGGTAGGGTATAGTTTGCTTCCGGTGCGCATCCAACCAGGTCAAGTACAAGGAGTTCTTCGGGCCAGATGCCTGCTCTGGTGACATGTGCCACCAGATACGGAAACTTTAATTTTTTTTTATGCTAATGCTTTTAGTATCGTTAATAAAATTGATTTGAGATATTTAATTCTGCTATAGTGTAAAGTTTAGGGCATCCAAATTAATTTTTAAAGTGATAATCGTTTTCTGGCATTATTTTTAATGATAGAAAAAGATCGTTTGCACGTTTTTACAGATCGTCACAAGAAGCATCAAACTCTGAATTTTAAGGCAAATTTATTGTTAACTGTAAAAGTTAACTGTGTTACAAAATTTAAATTTTGTATGACGGTTTTCTCATTTTTTGCAATATAACTTCGGAAAAAGTAGGTCAAAGATAATCTCACTGGTATCAATCTATAGGTAATCAAAGAACGAATAAATTATTTTGAGCAATTACTGCAATACAATACCCCAAATAAAGTTACAAGCAAAATTTAGAAAGAAAAACGCGGAAAACTACTTGTTAACTGTTTTTTAAGATATATAATAATTATGTTAGATTGTATGTTATAATTATTTGGAACTCCATAAAAATATCCCTTTTTTATCCCCGGTTTATTAATGAAATTTTTTATTTAGGCACACCCTTGAAATTGGGCTTATAATATTTTACTCCCATCTATATACATATAATTTAAACATGAAAATTACGAAAAAAGGGTGTCACCTCTACTGAATCCCATCTTAACGATTTTTCCTTTATAGTACATAACATTTCGAGCAAAACAAGCTTTATCTCAACAGTGTGTCTCAAACGATAATTTTATTTAAAAATCGGGGATTAAACGGAACATTTTTTATGGATTCCCTCATATTATAATACACTGTCTGAAAGAATGGATATGACCGATGGTATTTGTGTAAAATCAGCTTACATAAGTATCTTTAGCAGGTAGCACTGATTATTTCGTTTAGCAAAGCTGATACACGAATCATTTTACGACAAATTTAGGTTTGTCAACGGATTCGATTTTAGTAAAGAAAAGTTTATTTTTCTGAAATAAAGCTATTGCGATAGTACAGGAATGTAAAGTATGTGTACTGGGTATTGGGAAACAAAACTAGATAAAAAGTGTTCTACCACTTTTTCGGTTAGATTTTATTAAATTATTGTCAGGTACTATTATATTATAACGTCATACATGAGAATAGCTATTATATCAGTTGTTAGTATGACTACTATAATCATATAATGTCATACAGAAAAATAGCTTTTATATTACTTATCAATACGACTTCATTAAGGATTGAACGCATTTTCAGTGTAACAATGTGAATTTGAGGCGTTATCGTGATATTTTATTTTTTTTATACAATTTTGTTAAAAAATTATAAGACCCTTATTTCATCACTACACATAACACATAACAGTTTTACAGGAACGAGCTTCGTAGTTTTTGAGAAAAAAAATCTCGTAGTTATTCCATTATACGCGGAGTCTTATGGAGAGGTCGTCGCAAGTTTGCTGCCAAAGATACGTCTTCTTATACAACATGTTTAATTTTTGATAGATTTTCGTAAGAAACCAATATGTCGAAGCAGACCACGTTAAGAAGTACTTTCAAAAATTTCAGAAAGCCATGCTTGATAGTTTATGAGATGTTGCAATTTAAAGTGGCTCACTTTGCCAAAAATTTGACGGAAACGAAACAAACAGATGATTAGACCCCGGACGGGTTGCATGGCGAGTGCAGTAACTGATAAAAATTCATTGTTACGGGTTGAGTGGGGTGTGCAGTCCCATCAGATTTTCACACATCGAACTTTTAATGCGTAATGTACCGTGACAACCCCCTCAAATATATTTTTTTGTTAACGTTAGCTGAAAAGCTTCGGTTGGTAAAGTTACATACAGTACTAAGAGTAAATATACAGCCATACAGTTGTGATTTTTAGTTACTCTATGTATGTATATTGTATCCTTTCGGTAATATGCATAAAAAAAATTGTTCTTAAGAAATATATGTATGTACACTGACGTCAACAACTAATTTTAGTGATATTTAACACTTCAATTAGATAATATTAGCTTCTGATGATACAACTGCTGGAAGGGAGAATTAAGTCTACGAGTTTGGTCACTATAGGCGCTCCGATAGACTCGGTTATCTTCTCTAGCGTTAATTGGGTCTTGGGGGAGGCCCCGGTGTAAGAAAGACAGATGATACAAAGCTTTATCACTGCCGACTGAAAATTTTGTAGCAGTACTAACTATCGGAAGTCGTGACAAGACCACAGTATCAACTGCACCTTTTTTTCGAAGTAACAAACTAGAGCATTTAGTCACTGGTTTTTATATTCTAAATCATTATGTCGTATTTAAATACGGATTATTCTTTTGATACCTTTACAGTAAACACATATAAAAATTATTTAGCTGCACGCGACATTACTCACGAAACTTCCTTTAAAAAAACAATCTTACCGTTGACGTTAATTAACCAGAGCTACAATGATTTTAAAACCTTAAATGATAAAACTGGCAAGGTAAAACGACTTATTCACCCACTTCGGGTGCGTATACATGGTATAAATGTAATCTTAAACTTCTAGAACCAACCCATATGCCCGTGTAAGTGCGACAAAGAGAGTGTATGTTCTTGCTTCTCACTAGCACTCACACGGGCTTACGGCTGGTCAGGGCAGTTCAAGACTCCACGTATACGCAGCCTTACTATATTTTTTACGACTGTTTCCACATAATTTTAAGAATTAAAGTTTTTTAAGGATCACTTTCAATCGGAAGTAGACTGCATGCAATTTACTCCAGAAGAGATTAATGTGTCCGTGAGTATCTTTTTATTTTATTTTTTAAACACATTATGGCTTTTTTATGATAAATGCTAAATTCCAAAAAATAAAAAGCACCTTAAGACACAACTATTACATTTTTTACGAAAGCAAAAAGTATCACTATATGCAAATAAATTTTTTTTTAAACATTTTATTCAGCATCATGAGCCTGTTAAATCAGCTTTTAACGTATTTTTGTTAATTATCGTTATTTAGACTGTCATGATCAAATTTTACGTATAAATGTATGTATCAAAAACATAAAATAACGGAATCATTAAATTTTTTTCGACTACATATAAATCCAAAACATCATTTGTAGCAAAAAAAAAAGAATTTTTTTGTGTTAAAATATTTTCTTTAATTATCGGAGTATGACAAGTAGTAAAAATAAATAAAAATAATGATAATTTACTTTTTCATTAAGATATACAATATTTTCCGACTATTCCAAGACCTTCAATAAAAGTTATAAAAGATATAACGAAAAAACTCACTTGTTGTATG